CACACACACACACACACACACATGCACATACACATACATACACACACGTGACACTCACACACACACACGTGACACACATACACACACACACACAGGCCGCGTGCGCATGAACACCCACATAAACACACTAACACATATAAACAAACACATAAACACGCACGCGCATGCGCCCTGAGTACTGAGAATGTGTATCTGAGTAACGAACTTAGCGCTACCTTGCACACACTCCATTAATTTATTTTCCGGCTTTGGTATAAATCGCTTTGAAAACACAGAAATTCCCTCTCCAATACTGGGAGTTAGATCAAAGAGGAAAGGTAAACTGCAAAATACAGGCAGTAACTGTAACAACTCTAGGCTAAAAAATTACATATTTTTCAACAGCATTACCAGCTGTGACTAAACCTTCCAATTTTTGGAAAAATCGCTACCTTCGATTTATCGGCTCAGTATCTAGTTTTGAGACATTTGATGTTAAACATTTCGTGTTTCACAACATGTCAAGCTTTTTCAAATGCAATTCTTTAAATAATATCCTGAAAACGACTCAGAATAATCTTACGATTTCGATAAAGCAGAGAGAACATAATTTGATTTCTGACCTCATGGTCTTAGAAACTCAAAATGGCCAAACATGTCAGATAAGATTTTTGCAATTCTGAGGTAGCGAAATCGAGCTAGTGCACGACAGCGTTGGTCGTGTTCAGTAGCGACCTACCACCTTGACGACCGCTTGGCATGGTGACTCAGTGACGCTGTCGTCAGAGTCAGAGAGAGGAGGTGGCACGATGAGTGCGCGACACACACGCACAGTCACACAAGGATGAGTGTCCACAGCAATTGAACAACACGAATGTATTTAGTTTTAGGTTATGTGTATGAAACAGATGAGTGGTGAGAGAGGGATGAAGTGCACCCTTATCTACCCCCAACCATCTCTCTCTCTCTCTCTCTCTCTCTCTCTCTCTCTCTCTCTCTCTCTCTATCTATCTATCTATCTATCTCTCTCTCTCTTTCTCTCTCTCTCTCCCTGTCTCTCTGCCTGTGTCTGCCTGTCTGTCTGTCTGTCCGTCTGTCTGTCTGTCTGTCTGTCTGTCTGTCTGTCTCA